GAGAGTCCACATAGCTAATAATGTTTATTTGGTATTTAGGTTTGTCAACTCAGCATCTCTTTCAGAGAGTCCACATAGCTAATAGTGTTTATNTGATATTTAGGTTTGTCAACTCAGCATCTCTTTCAGAGAGTCCACATAGCTAATAATGTTTATTTGGTATTTAGGTTTGTCAACTCAGTATCTCTTCCAGAGAGTCTACATAGCTAATATTGTTTATTTGGTATTTAGGTTTGTCAACTCAGTATCTCTTCCAGAGAGTCCACATAGCTAATAATGTTTATTTGGTATTTAGGTTTGTCAACTCAGCATCTGTTTCAGAGAGTCCACATAGCTAATAATGTTTATTTGATATTAAGGTTTGTCAACTCAGTATCTCTTCCAGAGAGTCCACATAGCTAATAATGTTTATTTGGTATTTAGGTTTGTCAACTCAGCATCTCTTTCAGAGAGTCCACATAGCTAATAATGTTTATTTGATATTTAGATTTGTCAACTTGACATCTCTTTCAGAGAGTCCACATAGCTAATAATGTTATTTTGATATTTAGGTTTGTCAACTCAGCATCCCTTTCAGAGAGTCCACATAGCTAATAATGTTTATTTGGTATTTAGATTTGTCAACTCAGCATCTCTTTCAGAGAGTCCACATAGCTAATAATGTTTCAGAGAGTCCACATAGCTAATAATGTTTATTTGGTATTTAGATTTGTCAACTCAGTATCTCTTTCAGAGAGTCCACATAGCTAATAATGTTTCAGAGAGTCCACATAGCTAATAATATTATTTGGTATGTCAATAGCTTGATAAAGAAAATATTTTTAAGAAGGTCAAAGTTACGTAGCAGATACTGTACCAGTAATTTAATATTTAACAGTAGGTATTGAGAGGTATTCAACACACTTACCTTCCAAATGTTGCCCTCTAATCCAACAGAACTAGAATATTGTAAACAATGAATATTTATAGCATTCTCTGCAATATTTACACATGTTATAATAAATCAATGAGACAGTTGGAAGACCGTATTGAAGTCCGATAAGATAAGAACAAGTTCGATAAATTTATCAAATAGAGGTAATATTATTAGTTAGTCATTTTAGTTTTCATATATACAGGGCAATATTAGCTTGTGTATCAGTTTAGGCCCTCTGCGATTAGTGACGTCATCAAACACAACCAGGGAGCTTGCAAGCTTTATAACGACCGAAGATCAGTACGAATCAGTACGAACACTTAGTTTTAGTTGAATTGCAGGAACCACAGACATCTGATTGAAAATTGGAATGATGTAAAATAATGCTATCAGTGTCCCTAATATACATAAAAAATTTAGAAAATCTCTTTACAATCTCTTTAACAAGAACCACAGACATCTGATTGAAAATTGGAATGGTGTAAAATAATGCTATCATTGTCCCTAATATACATAAAAAAATTTAGAAAATCTCTTTACAATCTCTTTAACAAGAACCACAGACATCTGATTGAAAATTAGAATGATGTAAAATAATGCTATCATTGTCCCTAATATACATAAAAAATTTAGAAAATCTCTTTACAATCTCTTTAACAAGAATCACAGACATCTGATTGAAAATTGGAATGGCGTAAAATAATGCTATCATTGTCCCTAATATACATAAAAAAATTTAGAAAATCTCTTTACAATCTCTTTACAATCTCTTTAACAAGAACCACAGACATCTGATTGAAAATTGGAATGATGTAAAACAAGGCTATCATTGTCCCTAATATACATAAAAAATTTAGAAAATCTCTTTACAATCTCTTTACAATCTCTTTAACAAGAACCACAGACATCTGATTGAAAATTGGAATGATGTAAAATAATGCTATCAGTGTCCCTAATATACATAAAAAATTTAGAAAATCTCTTTACAATCTCTTTAACAAGAATCACAGACATGTGATTGAACATTGGAATGATGTAAAATAATGCTATCATTGTCACTAATATACATAAAAAATTTAGAAAATCTCTTTACAATCTCTTTAACAAGAATCACAGACATGTGATTGAAAATTGGAATGATGTAAAACAAGGCTATCATTGTCCCTAATATACATAAAAAATTTAGAAAATCTCTTTACAATCTCTTTAACAAGAATCACAGACATGTGATTGAAAATTGGAATGATGTAAAACGATGCTATCAGTGTCCCTAATATACATAAAAAATTTAGAAAACCTCTTTACAATCTCTTTAACAAGAACCACAGACATCTGATTGAAAATTGGAATGATGTAAATTGATGCTATCAGTGTCCCTAATATACATAAAAAATTTAGAAAACTTCTTTACAATCTCTTTAAATACAGGTAACATTACCTTGATTAGTATTTTTTAGATTCAGTTTCAATTCTTCTTATCTGTATGATTCAATCGAAACAAAGTCACCTGTCTTTTTACCCCTTAAGACATGTCAGTTTATTTCCCTGTTTTATAGATCCTGGTAACTAAACTTTCCAGAATTCAGGAAGAAAAAATCAGCTCCGTTAGAAAAAAAATAAAAAACCTTTTATTCCTGATGAAACTGATCAGAAAGTGACATTAATAATAAAATAGGATTTTTGATTAAATTAATACTGAGAGAGTAAGATAATTTAGGTCAATATTTGTTTCTGTATTAGGTTTTTTTTTTTCGTCCTTCACAACTTTTTCAAGAATTGAAACTGGTCTGGCCTTTAAAAAACAATTTAGATACACAAGTAAAAAGCATTTTTAGAAGAATTTTCTAAGGCATTTACACAGCCCTGTCGTTAGGGTGAGAATTAAGACCCAGCAAGTGAGAATTAAGAGCCAGCTATACCTTCTTCAGTTCAGCAGAGATTGATTCATTTACAGTGTCTTTCTATAAAATCAAAAAGATTTCGATACGTTTTTGGCACCTCAAAAATGTCAGAAATGAGTTCTCCGGGCCTTTATTTCTTAAAATGTTCTGAGTGTAAAATCTGAGACCCAGCACCAATTCATTCCAGGCAACGGGGTTGGATTTACCACATTTTTCTCAAATTGTGCATTCTGCCCTTTTAAAAAAGGCCTATGTATTGACCCCTGTATAAAATAGTTGTAATAATAATGTGAAATGTATGTAGAGGTAAGAGGAGAAGGCTACCCAGTGAGATTTAATAGTTTTATATTGTTAATAAAACTATACTATTATTCTCATGACAAGCTGGTAATCTTACTCTCTGGTATACAGAAACTCAGGTCAGACAGAAACTCAGGGTACTAGATAATTAAAGGTGTTGAGCAGTACTCAGGGTTCAATTCAAGGAGAACCTTCCCTTCACTATCTGTTCAACCAATCATACCTTAGTTTCAGAAACAGGAATTGTTTTAGCTTACATAATCAGTAATATTGTTCACAGCTCATCGTCGAAATTTTAGCCTTCAAATCCATGTGCATCCATAATTATTCACGTTAAAAAGTTAAAAATTCAACTCAAATTTTAGTGAGACTATGCCATATATAGAAAACACATATATACAGAAATAGACAGTGAAATTTCTAGTTTGAGGTATATTTAAAGGGATTATGCGCTTTTCGTCCGCTAAAGTACTTCTTTAGACTATTAAAGCACCCTCTGTCCACATAGCTAATAACGTTTATTTGGTATTTAGGTTTGTCAACTCAGTATCTCTTTCAGAGAGTCCACATAGCTAATAACGTTTATTTGGTATTTAGGTTTGTCAACTCAGTATCTCTTTCAGAGAGTCCACATAGCTAATAACGTTTATTTGGTATTTAGGTTTGTCAACTCAGTATCTCTTTCAGAGAGTTCACATAGCTAATAATGTTATTTTGGTATTTAGGTTTGTCAACTCAGTATCTCTTTCAGAGAGTCCACATAGCTAATAATATTTATTTGGTATTTAGGTTTGTCAAATCAGCATCTCTTTCAGAGAGTTCACATAGCTAATAATGTTATTTTGGTATTTAGGTTTGTCAACTCAGTATCTCTTTCAGAGAGTTCACATAGCTAATAATGTTATTTTGGTATTTAGGTTTGTCAATTCAGCATCTCTTTCAGAGAGTTCACATAGCTAATAATGTTTATTTGGTAATTAGGTTTGTCAATTGTCCAATAAAACATGATGACTCTATTGTTTACACGGTTTAACTGTGACAGCAAGGTTTGTTTTTTTTTAGTTTAAACCTAACGAGAGCTAGAGGTGATATTATTTTTAGTTTAAACCTAACGAGAGCTAGAGGTGATATTATTTTTAGTTTAAACCTATCGAGAGCTAGAGGTGATAATATTTTTAGTTTAAACCTAACGAGAGCTAGCGGTGATATTATTTTTAGTTTAAACCTATCGAGAGCTAGAGGTGATATTATTTTTAGTTTAAACCTATCGAGAGCTAGAGGTGATAATATTTTTAGTTTAAACCTAACGAGAGCTAGAGGTGATAATATTTTTAGTTTAAACCTAACGAGAGCTAGAGGTGATATTATTTTTAGTTTAAACCTAACGAGAGCTAGAGGTGATATTATTTTTAGTTTAAACCTAACGAGAGCTAGAGGTGATATTATTTTTAGTTTAAATCTAACGAGAGCTAGAGGTGATATTATTTTTAGTTTAAACCTAACGAGAGCTAGAGGTGATATTATTTTTAGTTTAAATCTAACGAGAGCTAGAGGTGATATTATTTTTGGTTTAAACCTAACGAGAGCTAGAGGTGATATTATTTTTAGCTTAAACCTAACGAGAGCTAGAGGTGATATTATTTTTGGTTTAAACCTAACGAGAGCTAGAGGTGATATTATTTTTAGCTTAAACCTAACGAGAGCTAGAGGTGATATTATTTTTAGTTTAAATCTAACGAGAGCTAGAGGTGATAATATTCTTAGTTTAAACCTAACGAGAGCTAGAGGTGATATTATTTTTAGTTTAAACCTAACGAGAGCTAGAGGTGATATTATTTTTAGTTTAAACCTAACGAGAGCTAGAGGTGATATTATTTTTAGTTTAAACCTATCGAGAGCTAGAGGTGATAATATTTTTAGTTTAAACCTAACGAGAGCTAGCGGTGATATTATTTTTAGTTTAAACCTAACGAGAGCTAGAGGTGATATTATTTTTAGTTTAAACCTAACGAGAGCTAGAGGTGATATTATTAATAGTTTAAATCTAACGAGAGCTAGAGGTGATATTATTTTTAGTTTAAACCTAACGAGAGCTAGAGGTGATATTATTTTTAGTTTAAACCTAACGAGAGCTAGAGGTGATATTATTTTTAGTTTAAACCTAACGAGAGCTAGAGGTGATATTATTTTTAGTTTAAATCTAACGAGAGCTAGAGGTGATATTATTTTTAGTTTAAACCTAACGAGAGCTAGAGGTGATATTATTTTTAGTTTAAACCTAACGAGAGCTAGAGGTGATATTATTTTTAGTTTAAACCTAACGAGAGCTAGAGGTGATATTATTGTTAGTTTAAATCTAACGAGAGCTAGAGGTGATATTATTTTTAGTTTAAACCTAACGAGAGCTAGAGGTGATATTATTTTTAGTTTAAACCTAACGAGAGCTAGAGGTGATATTATTAATAAGGAACTTATTAATAATAAAATCATTCAATCTATTTCCTCAAGACTAAGTTTTAACCAAAGAAAAAACTAGAGTTAACTTCCCCTTCTTTTTTTTAAGAAATTTAACAGAACTCTTTATTTTACATTTCTATATTTTTTGAATGGTGCTCTCATTATCTGTCTTCATTAATCCACATGGTGCAGAAAAGTAGAACATAAAACTCCATTCATTTCTAAAGGGACAGGTTTACCTTCATGAAATATTATTTTCAAATCACTGGAACACTTCTTCCCTCACTAATACCCTTTCATACATCACAACTAGATCCAAAAACAACCAGTGAATTCAATTAAAACTTAGATGTTCTTATTATCTACAGTACATTTAAAAAATATAATCGGCCTATAGCTCGAGATTTTTTAAACAAACCAAGTAATATGCGATAAAAAATTATTCATTTTCAACATTCTTGGCTGGAACATCGTCTTGTCCTAGTTTTTGACCGGAGTTACAATTATTTAATGGCCTACACAACTAACTAGACTATAGCCATGGGCTTGGCATGGATCAATAAACACTTCTTCCCTCTTCATACCTTGTACTTGATCGAGCTGTAGTTTTACAATTTTAATACATACACCCTACTTTCAGACAAAACCTGACGAAATTAAAGCGAACGTCTATAATATCGAGGTACGAAAATATTTTTCGCTCAGACTAAAAAAAAAACCCCAGAAGAATGGCGAGAAAAACAAATCATTCAATGAGTTCAAATTCAAGATTAAAACCTCTTGTTCTTGCGCTTTCAATTCAACGAGATCTAGAAAACACGACACCAACGTTATCGTTGGGAACAATAAAAACAATAATACCTGTAAAAATTAAGTCCCAATCAGCTTTCAAATCGTTTTTAGTGTAACCATGGACTTGGATATTCGCGGGATTCCCTTCTAGATGTGTCAACTCTGGTCATGACGTCATATCTATTTAAAACCTAGGATTTCTAATGGACAAAAACTGGGGTGAACCCCAATCTAAACTTTCCTGTGCTGTATTGAACTAATGTAATGAAATGGAGTTTTATATACTACTGTTCTGTTTCTTATTGGCCTAATGAAATGAAATAGAGTTTTACATCTTACTGTTCTGTATCTTATTAGACTAATGAAATGAAATAGAGTTTTATATCCTACTGTTCTGTATCTTATTGGACTAATAAAATGAAATGGAGTTTTATATTCTACTGTTCTGTATCTTATTAAACTAATGAAATGAAATAGAGTTTTATATCCTACTGTTCTGTATCTTATTGAACTAATGAAATGAAATAGAGTTTTATATCCTACTGTTCTGTATCTTATTGAAGTAATGAAATGAAATGGGTTTTTATATCCTACTGTTCTGTATCGTATTGGACTAATGAAATGAAATGGAGTTTTATATCCTATTGTTCTGTATCTTATTTGACTAATGAAATGTAATAGAGTTTTATATCCTACTGTTCTGTACCTTATTGGACTAATGAAATAAAATAGAGTTTTATATCCTACTGTTCAGTATTTTATTGGACTAATGAAATGAAATAGGGTTTTATATTCTACTGTTCTGTATCTTATTAGACTAATGAAATGAAATAGAGTTTTATATCCTACTGTTCTGGGTCTTATTGAACTAATG